CTCGAGCACTTGGTACTTAATATTAATATAATATTTGTAAATAACATGCAGATAATTAAGAAGAGTAAGTAGTTGAGCACAAGCAAGTTACTTCACTAGTGGAGTTTATTTAAACTTAGAACATAAAATACTTGTATTGTAAAACAATGTTTGTTTTGGACCAATGTATGTTTTAATTTAGCCTGACTAAATATATATCTCATTTAATTGATTAGATAATTGATTATTTACTTAATTGTTTTTCATAATGATCAACTTCATATTTTGAAATGATTAAATTATGTTTTGAGAATTAGATCTCTTAATAGAATAATAAAGTAAATATCAATGTTTTTTAAATAATAAATTCTATATGCACACACTTTCCACACAAACATGGTTTGAATCAAACTTATCTATGACATTGTTATATTTATTATATAAATAAAATACACATATTTCAACTTCATAAAATAGATTTTTGAAGGCAAATAATTTACTTTATTTCACATATGTGAATCGTATTTGTATATAAAAGTTTACAAATTATATTTTCACTAAACTGTAGGGAAATTAATTATTAAAGAATTGTACATTATGATGCATAACTTCCTTTCTAAATAATGTTTATATTTAGTATAAGATATCTAATTAACTTTATCAAAAACTATAGTCGTTGTAATTATATTTTAAATGTTAAAAGATAATTGTAAAACCTTTGTTGAAGTTTTAAAATATAAAGTTGAGATACAAACCAGTAGAACCATCTATATCCTTAGAGATGATAAAGGATGAAATGAACCTTACTAGATACGGTTTACTTACTAATCGGTGGAAATAATATTTCTCTATCCTTTTGGGATTATGCCTTAATCACTATCACTTATACTGCAAATACAAACACCAACTAATACGTAGATAAAACACTTTGAATGATTTAGTATGGAGGCTTCATTCATATCTTACTTAATGTTTTGAGGATTTGAAGCTTATGTTAGACTAAATTTTCTAAACCCAAATCCATATTTGTAGAATACTCTAAAATATTTTAGATTGTATTGTTAGGCCCTCCAGAGTACTCTCTACGAAGGGCTCTCATTGTCCACCTAGCGCGAACCACAAACACGAACACCACCCCGACCATCCTTTGTTGGTCATTGTCATGGATGATTGTTATTGAGAGGATGATGGACCACAACTAATGGGCTTAATTTAACCTTTAAACTGTAAAAAATGTATTTTTGTTTAAATTAGCTATAAATACAACCACCTACACCATATTTCCAAACCATTCTTCTCTTTATTACTCTATAAAATATCACATATATGGGTTTTTTTGAAAATTTTGATTCAGTTGATGATGGGGAGTTTATCTCGATATTCTTTAATGTTGTGCAACACATAGACGATGAAGAACATACATATGTTATACATATAATAACAGTTGTCAATTGAGACCGCCAAGCCGCACATGAACTTTTGGTACGTGATTATATTGTCGATAATTGTCTTTATAATGATAACACATTCAAACATCATTTTCGTCTTAATAAGGAATTATTTTTACATATTAGTAATGTTTTAGAGGCATGATATGAATATTTATTATAATTAAAAAAAAAAAGAAAAAAGAAAAAAAAAACTAGATGCTAGAGATAGAATGGGCTTTAGTGTTATACAGAAATGTACGACTGCACTTAAATATTTAGGATACGATATAGTCTTTGATGCAACAGACGAGTAATTGAATGTATTTGAGATGACCGTAAATTAGTGTGTAGATCATTTTTATGCATGTGTTTATGAGTTTTTTCATAAAGAATATTTATGCAAACCTATTGAATGTGATATTAGGAGATTGTATTTGGCACATGAAGAGAGACATGGATTTCCAGGAATGATCTTGGGTCGTCCTCCATTTTCAACAATATATGGACCAGAAAGCACCTTATATTTCATTTATGGAGAACGAGCATTCGTACAAACAAGGTTACTACCTTTGTAATGGGATATACTCATATTACTCACCTTTATGAAGGCATACGCGTTACATCGCACTGGAAAAACAAAGATGTTCACAAAAAGACAAGAATCTGTTAGAAATGATATAAAGACGACATCTGGAGTCCTCAATGAGACATGTTATGTAGTGAAATATATTTCATGACTCTAGGATATGGAAAAGTTAAAACATATAATGTATGCATGTATTATAATGCATAATATGATTATTGAACATGAAGGTAGAACGATTTTCACGTACGTCGAGAACGATATAAGTAGCCCGACTCAAGAGTTTATAGTTGGTTCGACTTAATTTTTAGCAAGAGTAATTGAAATTCAAAACACTGAAACGCGTTTCAATCTTCTGGAAGATCTAGGGCGTGTTCGATAAAACTAGATAGTAGCGAGTAGCTGGTAGCGTTTTGTTAAACGCTACATGAAGTAGCTTCTGGATTTTGAGCATTTTGTTTAAACTAAATGCTAGAAGTTTGTAGTGGCAACGAAGCCTTCAGTTCAAAACGGAACGTTTTGTCAAACGTTAGAAGTTAGAAGCTCTCAAACGCTCTTAAACGTTTTATGCCGAACACACCCTTGGCAAAGCATCCGTACCAAAACAACATGAACGAAGAATAGTAATATCTTTGAATTATGTTTTATGGAAACTTTTATTTTATGCAATATTAGGATTATTTTTGAATGTTTGTTATTTTTTTTTCCTATGCTTTTATTAAAATGTAATTGCTTGTTTTTTCTGCCGTTCAAAAAAAAAAAAAAAAAGAGTTATTTGGTCTTTTTTTTTTAATTGTAATGTTTTTATTTTAATTGAAAATCTAGCATTTTATTATATTTGTAATTTAATTATAATTAAAAAGATGATGAGTAGTGATGGGTAGTGATGTTTATACGGAACTTTAGTGGTTGTTAGTGATGATTAGGTGACAGTAATAGATTATGCATATATGGTTAGTGATAGATACTCTTGATCACCTTATATATCTTATATATTTCTAGTAATGTAAACTAATGCATTAAAATCATGTTTGTATAAATTATTAGGTTAATACCCGTGGTAACCACGGTTAAAAAAATAAGCATTGTTTATAATTTAAAATCGTAATGACTAATCAACGATTTGTACACCTTCATTAGTTTACAAAGGTAGAAATTTTGTTTGTTATAGTAAGTAGTCAAAACACCCCTCCCACAGCTACACACAAATTAACAGATACAATCACATGCACATCAATTCACACTACTTCAAATAGACCAATATACACTTCCACCTACCGGTGACCAATTTATTGAATTTATAATAGTTTCTTACCCATTAGTAAACATTAATCCAAAAAGAATTTGCAAAATCAGCATCATAATATAATCATCAAACAAAAAGTAGAGCATTAAAAAGATCAGTTTGTGATGCCTTGTGCTTCTTCCACAATCTGAGAAATAAAGTGCCTAGTAGAATCTGAATACTCCAAAAACTACACCTAAAGAAAATATATTTATATATATTTCACTTGTATCCACTGTTAATCAAAATAAGATATCATTTTGGTTATTTAAAAAAAAAACACTCACCTCTTTAGTGATCTCTTCAGATTTATGGTGTAATATTTGTATACTGTAGTGTAGATGCTAATATTTGTTGTGTAGATGCTGCTGAATCATTCTCCATGTTAATCTTTTTATTTATAGCTGCCCCCTAACAAGTTTTAAAAAAGTATATATCTATAATTTATGAACAATATCCAATATGAGAATTTATAAAAATAATACGTACCTCAACAACCAAAAGCTTCTATATTCATTTGCCTTTGTTCCAAACAATGCCTACTATACTCCACTTGTGACGTCACATTATTAACTTTAGAAGTCTCTTCACACTGGAGTTCCTTCTCTTTTTCTATTTGTTGTAGTAAATAGTAATTCCTATAATTGGTCCACTATAAAATGAAAACTTTTATAATTTTTATAAAGATATATACTTTGATAAAGAAACATAAGCACCTCTGGCTTGTTGTTTAAATAGGTTAACTTCAAGTGATTTATCCAAGACCCTATCATTACTATTCTTAACTTTCAAAACCTTCAAATCTTTCTCAACCTGTTTGCCATAGTTTCTGTTCAACAACCAATATAGCTCTTAATTAATAACAATCATGGCTTTTTTTTTTCTTTTTTTGTATTTTTTCCTAACTGAAACATGAAAAACATGTAAAATATAGAAAATGACAGAGAACCTGATCTTGTAATGTCTGCATCTTCTTCAGATATTTGGTCATTTTCTTGCTAGAGGGGCACACAAGTACTTCCAGACTATATTGCAATAGATCATAATTCAAGAACTTTGAAATCCATTTCATACTTCGCAAATCAACACGGTTTGTTGACAATTTTAATCTAATGAAGTAAAAACATTTGTAACTTGTAAACTCTAGAGATTCAAAAGTGGATACTGAAATTAAACAACTAAAGTTTAAAATGAGAAAAGATCTAGCGAGTACAAAACCTGCAGAAGGTGTGATTCCCTTTCTCGTTTTTAAGCATGTCTGATTATTACATAACAAAAACGAATTACAAGCGAATGGACTGCAACTATTGTGAAGAAAGATGGATATGGATTATGAAGCTTTGGAATGAGTGAGTGAGATTGAGCTTTCTTTAAATCTCTTGAATATGAGCATGATTTACGTCCTTATTATTTTTTTGAGATTTCTTTGCTGATTTGATGGGGTGAGGGGTTTTCAAAAAGATATTGAATAGAGATTGATACAGAAGATAGTACACGTACAGAATGACAGTTTGAAGGGTATTTTAGGAATTTGACTTTACAGAATTATGGGCTGTGGAATTGACATATCGCATAAAAGGTACTTTTTTATTAGGAAGAGGATAAACTAAAAAAATAATTGACCTATTTCAAAGAAAGAATTTTATATGAAAATCCAAATTATTTCTATTAACAGTACTACCCATTTTTCAGATATAAGGACAAAATTAGTTGGCATTGTCAACAGGACAACTCCAATAAGATTGAGCATTCCACACCACGTCCACACACATAACCCTATGGACTATCCAATCTTATTTCTCTTACTCTCTAGCCTTTCCCTTTTCACATTCATCTACGCCCTCACCACAACTCCAATAAGATTGAGCATTCCACACCACGTACACACACATAACCCTATGGACTATCCAATCTTATTTCTCTTACTCTCTAGCCTTTCCCTTTTCACATTCATCTACGCCCTCACCATCACCGGCCGCCGCAACTCGCGGCTTCCGCCGGGACCTTACCCTTTTCCGGTCATCGGAAACTTGTTAAAACTCAGCGACAAACCCCACCGCTCTATCGCCACACTCTCAAAACGCTATGGTCCTTTGATGTCTCTTAAGCTCGGAAGCAGAACAACGATAGTTGTTTCATCACCTGATTTGGCCAAAGAGTTCTTTCACACTCATGATATATCCTTCTCTAGCCGGACTATTCCGTACACCGCCAGAATACTGGACCACGATAAGTACTCCATAGTTTGGCTGCCCACTGGAGATGAATGGCGCAGACTACGAAGAATAACCAGAGAGTTATTCTTCTCTGTGCAATGTTTAGATGCTAGTCAACTCCTCCGTGGGGAGAAGGTAAATGTTTTCAATTATGTGTTTGATTTTGAATCTTTTTAATCAAGTATATATTATCAATTTCAATTGATTATGCATGCTTAGGTACAAGAACTTGTTGATCATGTGCATGAATGCTGTAGAAATGAAAAGGCTGTAAACATTGGTGAAGCTTTCTTTACAACAACTCTTAACATTCTCTCCAAATTAATATTCTCTGTGGATTTTGCTGAATATGATACTGAATCATCACAAGAGTTCAAGGAAGCAGTGATGGCGTTATTAAACTTCGGAGGAAGGCCAAATCTAGCTGACTTTTTTCCGATCCTTAAACCGTTTGATCCACAAGGATTTGTAAGACAAGGAAATGTTTATGGTAAAAAGTTGTTGACTATTATTGATAGGATAGTTGACCAACGTTTGCAATCAAGATTAAGTTCATCATCGTTAACAAACAATGATGTTTTGGACTCGTTGCTCAACCTCGTACACAAAGAAGAATCTATGTTTAGTCGAGAAGACATGAGGCATCTGTTCCTTGTAAGTAAATCCTTTTACAACTACAACTTAAGTGTATTTTACTGTATTTTATGTTGATAAAAATAAAGTTTAGTGGTTAGATTGATACATTAAAAGTATCTAGTTAATTTTTATATATTACTATTATATACTGATATTAACTTTTTGAGGATTAATCATCTCATAAGTTGTTGTAGGCTTTGTTTATCGCGGGAACCGATACAACATCGAGTACATTGGAATGGGCAATGACCGAGCTTATCCGTAACCCAGAAAAAATGAATTCGGCTCGTTTAGAAATTACTAAACTCATGCAAAACAAAAAGGAAAATATACAAGAAAAAGATATCTCCCAACTCCCTTACTTACAAGCTGTGATAAAAGAAACTCTTAGACTTCATCCACCGGCCCCTTTTCTTGTCCCACACCAAGCCATAGACACTGTAGAAGTACAAGGTTACATCGTGCCTAAAAATGCACAAATCTTTTGTAATGTTTGGGCTATGGGGCGTAACCCTAACATTTGGCCAGACCCAGAAACGTTCATGCCAAAAAGATTTTTGGAAGTCAAGATTGACTATAAAGGCCAAAATTATGAGTTCATTCCATTTGGTTCGGGCAGGAGGATTTGCCCGGGATTAAATATTGCTCATAGAATGTTGCATATAATGTTGGGGTCTTTGATTCATAAGTTTGATTGGAAACTTGATGGAAATATAAGAGCACAAGATATGGATATGGAGGAGAAGTTTGGACTCACATTGCCAAGAAAAGTACCACTCATGGCCATTCCGATTAAACTTTGATGGTTTTTATATTATTGTATTAATTTGTTGTTTTAGCTCTTATTGTGATCATGGCATTGGTGTGTATATATATATATATATATATATATATATATATATATATATATATATATATATATATATATATATATATATATATATATATATATATATGATTAGCGACCAGTTGGGTCACTTCATAAGTAAATGTATAAAATAAGAAAATGATAACTATTGATGGTTTTATGTTGCTATTTAAGTTTAGTCGCCGATATGAATTATTATTGATTTTTTTTCATGAAAAGCAATATTTGTATTGATGAATACTTGAAAAGCAGATCTGTTCTTCGAGTTAATTTGTTGTAGACACTAAAATAATCAGATCATATTATAATGCTACTTTACCAATCCAATTTAAATGAATAAATCTAGAAAATAATCAAGTTTTCCTTTATAGTAATTATAAGCAAAGTAGAAATTTCAACATGTCCAATTACATGCTATATCCATATCTTACAATCAATAATATATACATATTTCTTCTAATTTTAGTAGTGGGATGCAAAAATAAAAAAGCCTTCTTTTATCTTTGTAAGTAGGCTAACTATCAAATTTAGTAGAGAGCCTATTGTTTAGAAATAAAGTGTTGCTCGTTATTAACCGTATCTTTTATCTAATGTGTTAGAAAATCAGAGTTTTGATTGTTTGGAACATTGAGTGTTGTGATTACATTATTAAATTGAAATATTTCGATGATATTTTCGAAATCCCAATTGGATAAAACTCAGTAGTAATCAAGAATAGAGAATGAAGAAGTATAGTTTTCTTGTATACCAGAGAAAAACGAGAATGACTAATTAATAAGAAAATAACTCTCTTGTCTGAAAACTGTCAAAAACTACCATACGACAGTTTCATAACCATAAAAATTTGTCTCCAAAACCAAATTTATAATTACAGTCAAAACCGGGTTAAAATTCATAAATGCGGGTTTTCGTGCATTTTCTATAAATCGGTATTAACTTAAATAAACCTTCAAAATATCATATTTGCCCAAATCTTTTTTTTATAATATCTTGAATATTTTATAATCATTTTTTATACATTAGAATTATTATAATAATTAAAAAATTTAACCATATTATCCTTACGTCTATGATAATCGAATGTAAACTTCTAAATCGTTGGAATGCCACCCTATTGACTAACAAAAATATTTATCTTCAACCATCTCTATGGAATGTATATTTTGATCGTTTAGTTTTTTTTTTTTTTTATCATGTTGTAGATAACGGATATTTTAGATATTACCATTGATATTTTGATGTTTTAAAAGTGTATATATAATATTTTGATATTTAAGAATGATATATATGATATTTTGATGTTAAAAAATGACATATATGATATTTAGAAATTTTATGAAAGGGTAAATATGATATTTAGAAATTTTATGAAGTATAAATTTGATATTTAGATATTAAGTTGGGTAATATCATATTTTTGATGTTTAAGAATGGCGTATATGAAATTTTTCATAAATTATATATATATATATATATATATATATATATATATATATATATATATATATATATATATATATATATATATGTCATTTGTGATTTTTTTTTTTTCGATTTTATTAAATTTCATATAATACTTAAACGTAATAAATGTATATCTATTTCATTAATGCAATTTTCCTTGTAATTTTAAAATTTCTAAATTGAATTCCATTATTTTAGTTGTTGTTTATTTAAACTAGATTATGATCCGCGTTAAACGCAGTGAAATACATATAAAAACATACAAATATCTACAAAACACTTAAAATGAATTTATTAAATTTTTTAATGCATATATTAAAAAAATATATCATAAAACAAAATAAAACATGACTTGAAGATTAAAACTATAAATAAAGAAAAAAACAAAATATTCAATCTTAAACTAATATAAAATATTAAAATATCTTCACGAAGCATGTGACGAAGGAACGGATCTTCTAAGAAAGGAATGGATTATCAGACAAAGGAATTGATCAAGTGCCAAAGCAATGGATCGTGTATAAGGGGGTTTGGAGCACCTGGAAGGAGTTTGGAGCACTTGGAAGAGGTTCCGAGCACTTAGAAGGGATATGGAGCAACAATGGGTCCTTGTTGCGCCATGTGATGAAGAGATGGGTCAAGATGGATGTTCTTACACATCTTATTCTCCTCTTGTGCCATCCTATTCTACTCTTGCGCCATCTTGTTTTCTTGTTGAGCTATGCATGGCCTTGTTGAGCCATGCATGTGCTTGTTACTCATGGTGATGTTGTTGCTCCAAGATTGATGTTGTGTGCCATACTTGATGCTCTTACGCCATTAAATCCCTGTTACGCCAACTAGGATTGTTGTTGTGCCATGAAGAAGCTATTGTGCCATCATGGACCATCTTGGTACATGATGTGCCATATTGATTCATTTGTTGTGCCATGTTGATCCAAGTATGCCTAGAAGGTGATAATGCTCAAGAATGTTTCGGAAGATGTTGCATGGCAGATTGTGATTAGTTGACACCCTTTATCGACCTATGGGCCACTGGGCTTGGCCCATTAGGGTTTTAGGTTTGATCCCTCAAGTATAAATAAGGATGCATGCTATGTCATTTTGTATCTTGAATTCTAGAGTAATTTGTGAATCTCTGTGTAATTGTACTTGTAACCTTTGTGTTGAGAGCTCTGAAATAAAGAATACTCCCTTCCTGCCCGTGGACGTTGGTCAACTTGACCGAACCACGTAAATATTGTGTCTTGTGTGCTTTTGGTTTTGCTAGTTATCCACTTTACTTCCTAACAAGTGATACCAGAGTTGCAGTTTGTATTCCTGTGATTGAAGACGTCTACCCATAAGTTTGATTTGGAGAAGTTTAATGGCTCAAATGACTTCACTTTGTGGAAGATGAATATGAGGGCTCTTCTAGTTCAACAAGGATGTGCGGCGGCACTAGAAGGAGAGGCAAAACTACCAAAGGACATGGTGACTTATAAGAAGGTGGATATTCTAACGGAGGTACATAGTGTCATTCTATTGAGCTTGACAGATGAAGTACTAAGGGAGGTTATGGATTAAACAACTGCTTTTGGGCTCTGGGATAAACTTTGTGACAAGTACAAGAACAACTCACTAACGAATAGGTTGTATCAGAAGCAAAGGTTGTACACTCTCAGAATGTCTGAAAGTACCCAATTAAAAGTTCATATGGATAACTTCAATCGTATTATCTTAGATCTATAAGGTGTTGATGTGAAGATTGAAGATGAAGATCAAGCGCTCATTCTCTTGTGTTCTCTTCCTAACTCATATGAGAATTTCATTGATACCATGATTTATGGTAGGACATTGATCACTATGAATGATGCGAATAACTCTATGATGTCCAAGGAACTAAAAACAAAAAGTTTCAGGAAGAGAGGAGGTGTCCAGTTCTAGTTTGTTTGTATGGAGAGTGAGGACAGAAGAAAGGAAAGGGGGGAAATAGAAGGAGATCACGTTCAAAATCGAAGTCTAAAGGTTCATCAAACATGAAATGTTATAACTATAAGGAGAAGGGGCACTTCAAGCAAAATTGTCCACAACTGAGGAATGGAAAATCCAAGAGTGAATCAAGCAGCAATAACACTGCTACTGTGGTCCAGGAAAGTTCTGATGAAGGGGACAATGGTGATGTACTGACTGTGTGTGCATCACGTTTTGTTGATGCTTGGGTCTTGGATTCTGGAGCATCCTATCACATGATGTACAAGCGTGACTAGTTCGACTACTTCAAAGAGTGGGATGGAACAGTCAAGATGGATGATGATTGGGTGAGCAGTATCAAAGGTAATGGCATGGTGCAGATCAAGATGCATGATGGCATGGTCATGAAGTTAGATTGTTGGTATATTTCAGAACTTTGGAAGAATCTAATTTCTCTTGGCACATTGGCTAAGAATGGGATGAGGTACGCTAGTGATGGAAACCAGGTCAAAGTGACCAAAGGCTCTTTGGTTATAATGAAAGGGAAAATGGATCGTGGAAGGATCTATATCCTAGAAGGCAGTACGATTATAGGAACGGTGGCTATCTCCTAATCCTTGAATGAAGGTGATGACAAGACAGAGTTGTGGCATCGTAGGTTGGGGGACATGAGTGAGAAGGGCATGTTAGTTCTAAGTAAACAATGACTTCTTGGTGGAGAGGCTACTAGAAAGATAAAGTTTTGTGAAGCTTGTGTCAAGGGAAACGCAAAGTAAAGTTCGGTACTGGTCAACACACAAGCAAGGAAATTCTGGAGTATGTCCACTCAAATATATGGGGTCCTGCAACAGTAGAGTCTCAAGGAGGATGCTCATACTTCATAACGTTCATTGTTGACTATTCAATGAAGGTTTGGTTGTACTTTCTGAAGATGAAGGATGAGGTGTTTTGAAAGTTCAAGGAGTGGAATACCATGGTTGAGAAAAGGAATGGAAAACAATTCAAGATTTTGAGGACTAACAATGGGTTGGAGTTCTACAATGCTCCATTTGATAATTTCTGCAAGGCAGAAGGTATAGTGAGGCATCGTACTATATGGAACACACCACAGTAAAATGGAGTGGCAGGATGTATGAACCAAACACTCGTGCAGCGTGCAAGGTACATGTGGATATTTGCTAACTTATCCAAGCAATTCTGGGAGGAAGCAGTTAACACTACATGTTATCCGGAGAACATATTACCATCAATTGCAATAGACTTGAAGAATCCTCAAGAGGTATGGTCCGGAAAACCAGCTGACTAATATATTTTACGTATATTTGGATGCCCTACATATGCTCATATGAATGATGGTAAACTTGAGTCAAGGGAAATGAAGTGCATATTTCTATGATATATGACAAGAGTAAAAGGTTATTGACTGTGGTGTACAGAAGAAGGAAGAACTCCTAAATTTATCATGAGCAGAGATGTGACCTTTGATGAATCTGCCATAGGTTACCATGGAGGAGGTGAAACAAGTCAAGCAGGGAACAAAGATCAGGGTGCTAGCCAGAAGGTGGAGTTTGCATCTCAAACT